TGATATCCCAGGCGAAGAAGCAGACTATGCAGTGAGAGCTGATGGGATGACATTCACCCTCACTAATGTCATGGGATGACATTCAACCCGAAGAGCCAGGGCATTATTCCAGCTTTGTGTTTTCTCAGGGTGGAGTGTTTTGTTGCCCAGGTTGTGCACAACAAGGCAGACAAGCTGTGTTCAGCCGTTCCCCTCTTCCTGTCAGCACCAACCCAGGTCATAGGTGCTTCCTCCTCACCCTGTTTCTATGTGTTCTGTACAGTTTTTATGGTCCTACTGTTCTTGCCAGTGCCCCATGCTCATGCAGTTTTGCTGTCCTCCTTGCTCCCAAACTCATGCCTGGGCTTGGCATGGTGAATGCACACACCTTGTCAAGCCAGGGAACGATGGGCATCATACGAACCTGGGCCTACGGAGGGTCATGCGTGTCTTATTGGTGATCTCAATCCCCACACTCCGGGTCTGAGGTGCATTGAGGAGGATCTCTTCAAGGTTTTTGCTCCTCTCCATGGTGTAAGGCTGCCAGAACACGGAGGGGAAGGACAGCTCTGCTGCCTCAAAAACTCTGAGGAAGAAATGTAGATGGGGCTAGGGGGTCCTGCAGTGGGGCCTAGGGATCAGGACTTGTACCTCTGTAGTAGACATCTCCCTTGGGGCTGAATCCAGCTCAGAACCAAGTTCCACTGAAGTAAGCTGGCACATTATTTTTCAAAAATAATGGCAGTGAGGACAGGCCAGGCCAGGCAGCAGAAGTAGGGAGAGCTAGTTTGTTCTGATTTCTCATTGGACAAGAAGATTCCTCCCCAGTGCTGAGATGAGACAGCAACAACTCAGCTTGGTTGCCTGCATGCAGATGCCCAATGCCACAGGAGATGCCCCAGGGTACATGGTTCAGAGGGGGATCCCAAATGTCCCGTGCCATCCCACATCCCATCCCATCCCATCCCATCCCATCCCATCCCATCCCATCCCATCCCATAAGATAAGCAGGTGTCTGGGCTACCCCAGGGCACCTCAGAAGGAAGTAGGCCCCCCTGCGTGGGGTCAGCTGAATCTCTCCATGTGGGATGAAAACTCCCATTTGGGTGAAGTGTGTTGCCCTTCAGACCATACCTGTACACACAGGTGCCAGTAGAAACTCCTATGTAGACAGCCAAAAATCAGATGTCTCAGTCTGGGGCTGGAATCCAAAAGCATGGGTGGGTGAAAGAAGCAGCCCAGGAGAGACAGCAGACAAAGAGAGATCTCTTGGTATATTCACTTAGACCCTAGCTCTTCCCTCCAAGCAAACACAGAGCAACCAGGAGGGACTCTCTTACCTGGGGGTGTTCAGGTCGCAGATGTGGGGAGAAGAAATCTCCTGTCTGGCTCTGTTTCTTGGAGCCCCTGGGCTATGGCAGGAGTCTCCTGGGGCTGTTCTGCTCTGCTCTGAGGTTTGCAGCACGACTGGCCCCGCTCTCCCGATCACACCCATCCTGGGGCAGCTCGTAAAAAGGGAGGGGTGCTGCCATAGCTGCAGGGTGTTCCCGTGGAAGATGTAACCCAACACACTGCAGTCACCACCTGCTATAGGTGCTGCCTTCCTCTCCTCCCTATGGTATAGACCTCTAGGGCTATAGCTGGGTTATCGATACTTTGCTGGGGATTGCCCTGCCAAGCCATCTATGTCTGTGAGTTAGGGCATGTCCCTGTACGGGTCATTCCTTCCTTTCACTCAGGTAGGGTAAAAAAGCAGAGGGGAATAGAGCAGCCAGAGCTGCCCACTCAAGGCAGGAGGGGCTGTTTTCAAAGTCTGTGGGTAGCACTTCTGACCACAAGCACATGTGGTTGTGATATCTTGGTTCCTCTGCCAGAATTTACTCTTTGGGTGAGGGGTAGATAGGGAAACCAGTAATTGTGTGTGCTTTCAATTAAGGAGCTAGCATTTGCTTTCCACATTACGTAACTGTGATTAAACTGTCCAGATAACTACTAGCAGTCATTACAAATCACAACCTTTCACTGTCTCAGGCAGGTTAAAGCACTTGTGGGTATTTTAGCTAATATTTATGAATGCCCCTTTCCCATCCACTTTTGCATCTCCTTTGAATATTTTTCCCTTCTGTCTTTCTTTCCCATTTTTTCTCAACTTTCAAGAAAAGTCTTCGTTCTTGCTGTGCTATGGGGGATTACCTGTTCTCTATTCATGGGACACCAAGCCACTCTCCTTTTCTGAGGGGAACCTTCCATTTGGAAACGACATGATCCAAAGGGTCAGGGTGAGCAGCAGAA